TTGGCCAATAAAATTCCTTGTGTGTCCAACCACACTTGGCCAATAAAGAGTAAAGAATAAAGAATAGCAAGAACTTTGCAAACCAACATGGGTTTGCATGACCACTCTTTTAATATCCATTAATAATAAATAATCTGCTAATTATTGACAACTTCTCCCAATTCTCCCAAAACTGTGCTGCTAAGTGCTGCAGTTGTAATCTTGGCTGATCTAAGAATAAAAGTCTTTTCCAGGTTGGCACCAAGAAACGGATCTCCTCTGTCTGCTAAATGGTGATGGTGACTATAATTTACTCTTGTTCCTAAATTACTTCACCATGCTTGGATTTATGCAGCTGTCAGTAAATGCCACTTAAATAAACCCTAATTGCTAGGGGTGGCTGCTCTTGCCAAAAACTGCAAATGACTGTGACCCCATAGAGCCCTCTAGATATTTTTCCTTCTTTATGCCATTCTGGCAAGGCACCAGCCTCCGTATTCTAAATCAGGAAGTCTCAAGTTTTCCTTGCTTGACAGCCTTGTTGCTACTCTTTTCTTTTCTCCTGGCAGTTTTCTTCGAGGATTCTGCTTTTAAAGCCTCTAGGTTTCCAATTCTCTCTGGATCACAGTTCCTAACATCTGAAGGAAAGTGATCCAACGCACCGGTTTTGATCTGAAACTTCCATCAAACACTACCGAAGACCTTATTTTAGGAAACCAGCCATTAATCTGGCCAGCAGAGATTACGGGCAAAGGAAACCACAGGTGAGGGACAGAGTATATAAAAATGCATGAACACATAGAATTTAAGCTATTCTTAATTCAGCATTTTATTTAGTCCATCGGAGAAGTCTATTTGCTCTCCCCCTTACACTGACTCACCAAGATTGAGGTTGTTGGTCCATCACCTTTGCTGTGTAGCACCCCCTCTCGCGGGATAAAAATAAAATAAAATCTCAAATTCGGCTTTCTGTCCCAAATACTGGATTTCAGTTCTCCTCCGTTGTTGCCTTCATTTTTATTTATTTATTTTACATTCTCTCTCACACACACAATAACGACATACACACCCTTCTCTCACACCTTGGCCCTTTGCAGCAGAAGTGGCGGCGGCTGAAGCGCTAGCGCGGCTCCCTCGGGCTACAATTTCCCCCACTCCCGCCTTGCCCCTTCCTATCTCCGCAGTCTCTTTTCCAACCCAAAGAGAGGTTAAAAACAACAACAACAACCCGTAGGACCGTACCGTCTCCCGGAGAAATGGTCTCGACTTCCACTCCCATGGCTGCAACGCCCTAGAATCCAAAAGCAGCTCCCCTCCTTCCCCCCCGCCTCACACACACACACACACACGCGCGCCAAGCCCGCTTCTTAATCAACGTTGCCGTTTTTACAGCCCCCGGCTCCTCAAGACTCTTCGGCAAACCCTTTCACCTGTCCATCAGGATGTCCAACCAATGAAAAAGATGGGGAGGTTGTTCTCGGCTCCCCTTAGCCAATCCCCCTACTCCATGGCAGAAGAAAGGGCGGGGCTCTCGGAGTGGGAGGGGAGGAAAGCCCCCGGCTTTGCTTCATTGGACTTGCTCGGCAGCAGCTTGGAGTAAAGGGTGGGGCGGGGTGCGCGAGCGGCTAAAAGCACAGCTGAATGGGCCAATCTGCTTCCTGCTGGAGAGCGGCGGTTGCTCCTTTGGCGGCGGGATGCTCGCTCGTTCAGACGTGCGGGCAGAGCTATTCTCGGGGCCAGCCTTGGGGTGTCTGTGTGCGTGTTTTAACGCACGGAGATAGCATCCATTGGCTTTGCTGAATTCATCCATGATGGGTGCTGAATGCATTCCAGCGGTCAGCGTCAGTGCTATCTAACCACCTACGCAGATGGGCCGAGCCACTTGATAAGGCCGCAACTGTTCGTTTCTGGCCAGAAGCTGCTCTTGACCAGGATAAGATAAGACTAAAAGTATTCTGATTTCTTTTTTTTTTTCCCCTCGCTGCGTCCGTGTTCACTGAACTCACACACACAGGCATCTTCAGGAAACCAATGGTTCTTTTCAATGTTGAGAATAGCTGAGGTGCAGCTGTGATGTTCTTTTAATGTTATGTTATTTTTTTTAATTTTATGTTATTTTTGTTTGTCAAACATGTACAAGATAACAAGGATAAGTATGAACATAAACAGGAACAAAGGGAGTAAGTACAGATGAATGGGGACAGTAAGACAGGGACGTAGGCATAGATAACATAATCAGAGTTGGAAGGGACCTTGTAGGTCATCTAGTCCAACCCCCCGCCCAAGCGGGAGACCCTACACCATTTCTGACAGATGGGAGTCCAATCTCTTCTTGAAAGCCTCCAGTGATGGCACTCCCACAACTTCCAAGGGCAAGCTGTTCCATTGACAGTGATTGTTCTCACTGTCAGAAAGTTTCTCCTTATTTCCAGGTTAAATCTCTCCTTGTTCAGTTTCCATCCATTATTCCTTGTCTGGCCTATTTGCCTTGGAAAATAGCTTGACCCCCTTCCTCCCTGTGGCAGCCCCTCAAATATTGGAAGACCACTATCATGTCTCCCCTGGTTCTTCTCTTCACTAGACTAGCCATGTCCAGTTCCTGTAACCGTTCTTCATATGTTTTAGCCTCCAGTCCCCTGATCATCCTGTACTTCTCTGTACTTTTTCTAGAGTCTCAACATCTTTTTTGTAATGTAGTGAACAAAACTAGATGCGGTAGTCTAGGTGTGGCATGCTGGTGCGCTTATGCACACCCCCTTTAAGGACCTCTTAAGAATGGGGTGAGGTCCACAGTAGACAGTTTGAGGTTGAAACTGTGAGGGGTTGAGGCTGTAACAACGGAGTCGGGTAGGGCGTTCGAGGCGTTGACCACTATTGCTGAAGTCATATTTTCTGTAATCGAGTTTGGAACGGTTTACCTTGAGTATGTATCAATTGTTTGCCCATGTATTATTGTGATTGAGGCTGAAGAAGTCGTTGATAGGCAAGATGTTATAGCAGACAATGTTGTGAACTATGCTTATATCGGACCGCAGGCGGCACAGTTCTAGATTTCCCAGGCCCAAAATTTTGAGCCTGGAGGCATAAGGGATTCTATTGTGAGGGGAGGAGTGGAGTGAGTACTTTTCTCGAGAAATATCTCTGAACCCGCTCAATTGTGTGAATGTCCAATATATTGTGCAGGTTCCAGGTGGATGAGCTGTAATCGAGAATTGATCTGGCAAAGGTTTTGTATGCCCTAGTTAACAATTCACTGTTGTCCTACTTGAGAAATTGGGATAGCCTAATGTAAGGACTTTGAAAAAGCTGGCTGTTTCATGGTTACTTCAGATAGAGAAGTTTGTAAGCTTTCCTCATTTAATTTAGATTCTTTCTCCAAGTGCACTTTTTCTATATTTTATTGAAATGGATTCACTTAATGTCTGCAATGTTCACTTAACAGTTGCCATATTCTCTTATTGACCATGATGTTCACTTAATGACTGCCACAAAAATATTAAAAAATCAGGTCCAGTCAAGTGAGATTCAACTTATGACCATAACAACTTATAACTATAATTTCAGGCTCAATTATGATTGTAATTGTAATTGGAGGACTATCTGTGTTTTTGGTTGTATCCATCCAATGAGTGCTTGGCATATTTTTAAGGTGATGATTGAGGTATGGCTTTTGTGTTTTGTACAAATTCTTTGCCAGTAATAGCTAAAGCCAAAAGGATTCTGGTAGCATCTTTTTTGACTAACAGAATTTAAGACAGTGGCCCTCAACCATTTGGGCACCAGGGACCGGTTCTGTGGAGTTTTTTTCATAGACCAGAGGGGGCATGGTTTCACATGTTGCCTGCATCCGCAGATGGGGCTTCATTTATTTCTTCATTTATGGCCCAGTTTCTGGCATGCTGCAGACCGCTACTGGTCCACTGGGGGTTGGGGACCCCTGGTTTAAGGCATAAACTTTTGTCATTTCATCAGCTTCATGGAATAGCTTAATTGATGTAGGATTTAAATAGACTGGAGTGAGACTATGGAGGGGAAGGCAAGACAGGTTGATTATGTAGATGTAGGTTACTAGTGAGACATTACAAGTACTTCTACAATAAAAAACATCTACATCTAAAGTAACATCTACAATATAGTATGTTAAAAACTCATAGTTTGTGAAAAATGTACCAAGATACCCCTAAATCTATTTAATATTACTGAAACATCTGCTTTTTTGTCATATCCAGGATTTTTTTACAAAAGCTGTGGTTCAGCTTTCAAATATATTAAACATTGTAAAGCCTATTTTTCTGAGCATAGTTACAGACATCTTTGATCAGAGGTCTATTCCAAAAAATAATATGACAAGATTAAGATCCAGATTTTCTTTCTGCAAGTGTGAAATAAATATTTTTATAATCTTTTTGTCCAAATTAAAAGGAGCAAAATGAAAAGAGGTTGGATGCAGAAGAAGGAAATGATGGTATCAGTCAATTGCAAACAGAATACAGTAATACTTTTTTTTGCTCTTTTGTTTTTCTATCATTAATATTATTTGCTTTGAACTATTTACAAATGTACTCTTTGAAGATATGATTCCTTTTACTTAGTTTTCCCTTCAAAGAGCAGAAGAGCTTGGTTGCTCAGTTCATGCTACAACTAAAATTATTCTCCAGCACTCAAAGCTGTTGAGTATAGAAGAGATCTTGATATACTTCAGGTATTAAAGTGCTATTTTTAAAGCCCAGTCTTTAGAAGTTAAAAATAGTCTTTTAAGAAACTGCAATAGATGAGATCAGTAATTAGTTAAAGCTCATTAGCTTCTCCCAGAAAAAGAACATAGAAAGAGCAGTCTGGAAGTAGATTTATTCTTAGAGTAGTAGCAGTAGAATTTCACAAAGAAGGGAGCTGCAAACTTAAAGGGAATCACTTACCAACATGGAATTGATCTACAACTAGAAGACTTGGATACCTCAAGTTGTTCTGATGAATCTGATGGAACCTCTACTTCACAGCAAACAATACTGATAGAAGATTTCAAGAATGGAGCTAGGAAAAGCTAAACTTCCTAGAACTGGCCTTAATGCTTTATACCAGGCTATTCATCCAATATATGGGATTGCGTGGACAGATGGCAAGCAAGTTACACTGATACCATTGCATTTTCATAGGAAAGAATGGAGATTTGGTGATTCGATTCTTATTGGTCAGTTTGAACATGTCTACGCACTTTATTGGAATGCATGTTATTCTGCTGACTTGCCAGCTCTGCTTGCTGTTCAGCACAAGAAGCATGTTAGCGTTTGGCAGCTAATCCATAACGTTTTGGAAAAGAATAAGTTGATGGTCTTCCAGGCTTGTGAAATTGCTGAGCCGTTCCAGTTGCTTCCTCAAGGCTGTGTGTGGCACCCAAAGAGAGATATTTTATCAGTATTTACCAAAAGGGATGCTTCTGTTTTATATGCAGTTCGTTTAGACAACTCCAAGGTTAAAGCAGACATTAAAAGCAGGGGACTCATCCACTGTGCTTGTTGGACCAAGGAGGGCAATCGTCTAGTTATTGCTATAAGCAGTTCTCTTCATTCCTATATTTGGGACGAGGCCAAGAAAACACTGAATGCTTGCACTTTTTGCCCAATATTTGATGTTGGAGGCTATATCTGTGCTATTGAAGCTACTTCGGATTTTCAAATTGCTGTGGCTACTGAGCTCCCTCCTAATAAGGTGCCTGGTTTAAATGCTGGGATTACATTTGAATTACCAATAAATTCTGAAATGGATTTTATGTCTACAGATTCTTCGCAGTCTACTCTGGTGCTTGGGGATGAAGAGTACTCAATGGATTCGAGAAGGAAGTCTTTTGATTCAGATAAATCAGTAGCAGGGCATTCTGTAGCTTCATCTTCATCAGGCCCAGTTGATTTAACCAGTATCCTGGCAAACCACAGGAAACTCGATCACGGTCGTATACCTTTGAGGAGGAAGGTCAGCCCTTTAGGAAATGGTCAGTGTTCTTCACAATTGATCATGGTTACTTATGAAGGAAAGATAACTACAACTAGAAAAGTCAGCATTCCAGGCATTTTGGTCCCTGATATAATTGCCTTTGACCTTAGTGCTCAAATGGTTGCAGTAGCTTCTAATACTTGCAATATTGTTTTGGTCTCTTCGGTTACATCATCCTGTGTGCCCAACTTGCAACGGATCCAACTAGATAGAAATGAACGACCCAAAGGTCTATCCTTTTTGACAGATAAGCTTTTATTAATTTTGGTTGGCAAGCAGAAATTCACCGATCCCACATTTATTCCTTCCTCTAATTCAGACCGATATGTCACAAGATTGATGATGAAAGAATTAATATCTGGCAAAGACTTTTCGTCAAAGTCTGGGACTAGCCAAACTTTGTCATTCACCTTTGAGCCTTCTGTTAGCCTTCCTGAGAAAAGAAGACATTTTAAGAACTTTGCTTCAGAGGATTGTATTGTGGAGCAGGAGC